ACCCTAAAAGCAATCCTTCTAAACACTATAAGCACTTCAGAAAGACTATCGCTATTTGTTTTCTGAAGTTAGAGCTATGTCGACACTGCCGTTTCAGGGCGGGGTCATTTTCAGGACTTTCGTCCCGGATTCAGGTTTTGGCACATATGCCATGTTAACCGCCATGGTCATTTTACCCTAAAACAGTTGAGATTATCTGTGCTAAATGAAACGCATACAAACTCATATACAGGTCCTAGACTAAATATTAATTTCTCCTTCGTGAAAGAAGCGTGTTGAGTAAATGACGTCACATCCGGTTAGAAATCGACACCTCGCTAATTGATAACTCAGTAATGGCGGCCGAAAAATTTGCATGTTTGCGTTGAAAAATAAAGCAGAAGGAAATGGAATTGGACGCTGATATTCGGTAATTTTGTTTATCTACTGATATACTTTCTGAATATGCAATAAAAAGACAGCACAATTTTCCATCGCAGTGGCACTTTAAATGGCTTTATGGATAAACTTTGAGTTTGCAATAAAATGATTTCAAATTCTCGCATGCAAATAACTTTACTTTCTTTTTTATTTAAAAGATTCAATATTAAAGATACACTGAAATTATATGCTGTCTTGTTTAGTTGTTTCATATACGCAAAGGCCGTCAGGTTTTAAATCAATTATAAAATCAATATTTAAAACAAACTTACCTTCGTTAACGTCGGCTCCCTTCTTTTAGCCGATTCTTTCGCCCTTTCTTTCTTGAAATTTACAAAATCTTGCAAAAATGCGAGCAAAAATGAAGTATATTTGCAAGAAATTTATGAGCTTTCGTTACACTTTGTCAACATAATAATAGTGTTGCTTCAAACTTTATGATAAAAAAACCCCGGTTTTCTAGGCCTGTATACAAATAAAAATAGTACGTTTATACTATAAATGAGTTTATTTTACCTGTATCGGTTTAAATTCGCTGTTAAGTTGCAAATGATTCTGTTTGAGGACGCAATAATTGGGCATATCCAACCAGGGCAGTTTTAGGGCAGTTTTGACCTTGTTGTTGGGAAATCCACTAGGCCACAGAATAAATAATAAGACCAGAAGTCTCACTCGATGTCGGAATCTTTGATGTTGATGTCCCCGCGCATGTCGCCTCGCGCATCTTGGCCGCGTCTCGTTTCCAGTGCCCTAAACAAGTGTAATTTGACAAATTTACATGTAAACATTAAGGAGTGAGAAAGTTGAAACGATACCAATCGAGTTTTAGAGCTTTGGTGACCATTTTAAAAGAATATATGATAAATTCAAAAGTAAGTCTATCGTATTGCATTGTTTTAAATGAATTCTCAGCTAAAATACGGCAATAAATGGATCATAAACTTAGTTAAATTTACTGTTGACAACGAGGTTGACAGATCCATCGCTGTTTTTTGCCTTGAATAGCTTTACCATAGTCATTTTACCTTAAAATGTAGCTACTGAGGATGTCTCTAAAATATTTACACATATTATTTGCACAATCTCACGATTTAATCATGCTGATAACATGAAAATCCTTGTGCCATTGTATACTTGGCATAATCTCTACATCAATAGTTCACCAGTTCAACACTTATAAATTCAATATATTTTTGAACCAGTTCATATATTATTATACACAATGTAGTATAGTTAATTTGACCATTGAGAAGTAAGGGTGTATTTAAACATTACACAGACACTGCTGAATTTTAGGTTACATGCCATTGGATTGATATATAAAAAACACTTGTAAAAACACACATTATCTTGTTGATAGAATAGTTATTTGCAGTATACTAACTGTTGGCATACTCTATTTCAGGACTATCAATTGTTTTTGTCACTGGCAGTCTTTGAAATACAATCTTGCTCTGTGGCCTTTACTGACAAGTTGGCTTTTACTACATATGTGGCACTGACACTTCTTTAATTAATGCACCAGTCAATGTTTACCCCCCAACCGGGGAGGGGCAGGGATTTTGACTTGGAGGGGTAGCAAAAGAGCGAAATTGTCCCCGCCCACAGGGACATCAATGTCCCCTGCAAGTCTCTCAACCCCAGGAAAATAGTTTTGTATAATCATAGATCAGCAATAGAAAATCAAATTCATATATGTTGTTGTATTTAAACTTTCCTTGTCAAGAAAACTAAAACAGCAACACAGGATATATATGTTAACCACCGTCCAAGTCTCCCATTATCGGGGACAAATTTATGATCAAAACTGACCACTTTCCCTGCTAAACCTCCCGCCCCTCCCCGGTTGGGGGCAGGGATTTACATTGACTAGTGCATAACTAGATGAAGCATTGCATGGAAGTTGATTTATAATTAGTTTATGAATAAACTCACACTTTCATTATAGAGGTTCAGATTTGAGTTCTACTACCACTATCTCTGACTGGCTTAGTATGCATCTGATTGGTTATAATGGTTGATCGAATATATCAAATGCATTTGATTGGTTGATGGTCCCTTATTAAATGGTAATGGTATAGTCAAATCTGAACCTATATAATGTCAATATACTGGAAAAGTATCAAATTAAATTTTAATTGTCAATGTTGTGGAAAGTAAATAAATCAAACAATTCTGTTTGTTTCAACTAACTAGTTCACTATCACTTTGGTTTTCAAATCAAAGAATCTTTAGCCTGGTTGAGTTTTTGAAAAAGTAGCTGCTTGATTGAATGCAAGATTATTTTACTCTGTCTAATGCCAGACAATTTCACTCGTCAAGGGGAAAAGTGCCACCACTCAGTGAACTCAATCAGAGCTCAATGAGCAGCAGCACTCTCCCTCGATAAGTAAAATCATCTGGCATTAGATGAAGTGAAATAAACTAGTAAAGTAGGGTGCATTGGGGCACAATGCAGCTTTCTGGGTTAACTGGAAAATATATTCATTAAACAATACTCACCCTATACTTGTATTTCAATTCATAGCATGATTGGTATGCTTATGTCTATTTGACCCAAGTACCTGACAGGAATCATATTTGAATCACACCTGTATTCATTGAACAAAGCTAATTTAAATGTACATTAATTGTACATGAACCATGTAAATGTAAAAACTAGCTAGAGCAAACACACACCCACACAGCTTTGTTTTTTATTTTTCTTGAGAAGGAATAACTGAGTTACAATGAGACCAGTATCAACAATTTCAAAAAGGTATTGTACAAAAATATTACAAACATAAGACACTTGAAAGACAGAAAAACCACGAAGTATGTCACTACAGAAACTGTATTCTGTGACATAGACGATATTTCTTTAAAGAAATTAACTTGCAGCTTTTAACAGTTGTCTAAGGGCCTGTTAATATCGAAACTGCCCGGAAAGTGAGATCTCGCTGTCTAGTTATTTTTATGGTAAAAATTATCGTTTCTATGGACAAGCGGGCAGGCCTGGTTGCCGAGACCAGGATGGAAATTTCTCCGTATAAACAATCACAAGCAGGCTAGCCCGGTTGCCTGGATGAAAGTTCAAAGATACTGCCGCAAGCTATTTTTATGCTGTCAGATTTATTTTTATGCTGTTTATGTTTTTTTATGCTGTCAAAACAATGTCAAAACAACAAAATTGTCCCGGTAAGCGGGATAACATTTTCTCAAATAAACACAAGAGAAATCATCCTAATTATTCTTCCACTTCTAGTCTTTAGTGGAGATGCACTAAAATTGTTTATCAAGTGTTCCGGGTCATTGTTCCTCTGATGTTTCTTCTGTAGATACTGCATTATCACCATCACTTGCTGGTTCTGTACCAACTGCATCCTCTTCATTGCTTTGACTAATGGGATCATCACAATCTTCTTTTCGAAATAACTGTGAATTTCCTACTTTCGTCTTGAGAATGTGTTTCCTGTTTCTTCTGTAAGTGCTTCCATCTGGACTTTGCACAATATATGACCTTGGTGTGTGTCCTTGACTAGTTACCACTGCTGGATTCCATAGTTTTCCTTGCTTTATGCGAACTTGCTCGCCTTGTGATATTGTAGGAAGTTCTTTGGAGCCTCGGTCATAATACCGTTTCTGAAAGGTTTTCTTAGATATTAGCTTCGAACTCGCTAGATCTTCATCAATGACTTTAGGTTGTAGCATATATAGACTTCGTTGTGGGAACAATAGATCTTAATCTTCTGCTCATCAGTAATTGCACTGGTGAACCAATTTGATCAATGGGTGTATTTCGATATTCTAAAATACTAACGTAAGGATCTTTTCCATCTCTGTTTGCTTTGTTTAACAAGTTTTTGACAGTCTGCACCGATCTTTCAGCTAGACCATTAGCTTGTGGATGGTATGGACTGGTCGTCGTGCGCTGAAAATTCCACTCTTGCGAAAACTTTCCAAATTCTTGTGATGTATACTGCGGACCATTATCACTCTTTACTTCTCTTCGGGACCCCGTGTCTGGCGAATATAGATTTCATGTAAGTAACCACGGTGCTGCTCTTACAATCTGACAACTTTGTAATCTCAAAATAACGTGAGAAACAGTCCACAACTAATAGATAGTTTGAATTGTTCCAGTAGAACAAATCAGTGGCGACAGTATCACATGGAATCGTGGAAGTTGGTTGAACAATCATGGGCTCTTTCTGGTTTGATGGTCAATATTCTAGACAGGTAGGACATTTCAAGACCATTTCTTCTATCTGTGAATTCATCCCTGACCAATACAGAACATCCCGTGCACATTTATTGCATTTTTCGGTACCCATGTGTCCAGCACGAATCTTTTCCAACATTTCTGGTCGAAAGGAACTTGGGATGATGATCTTTTCATTCTTCAAAAGAATTCCATCAATCTCTGAGATTTTCTCTCTACAATGCCAATACTCCCTAATTTTGACTTGTGTTTCTCGTTTCGTATCTAGCCACCCGCTCAAAACGGTCTTCTTCAGCTGCCATAGTGATTCATCTTCTTCTGTGGCCATCCTGAGTCTCGCCATCATGTCATCTGTCGCAGGAAGATTGGACATCACCATTTAAACATAGCAAGATATTTCTTTCTCTAACTCTGAATCTGTAGTGGGAAGTGGTGCCCGTGATAGAGTGTCCGCTACCACAAGATCCTCGCCCGGCTTATGCTTGTAGGTGAAGTCATATTTCTGTAATCTTAACAACATCATTTGCAATCCGAGAGGAGCATCATGTAAGGATTTCTTTAAAATGATCTCAAGTGGCTTATGGTCATTCTCTACACGGACTTTCACGCCATAGGTGTACGCATTGATCATGAATCTTTCAAGAGCAAACAAAACAGAGAGTAGTTCTTTCTCAATCTGTGCGTGTCTAGTTCCTGCTTCAGTCGTAGAACGAGACGCATAGGCAATTGGTTGTTCTTCCTGGATCAGAACTGCACCAAGTCCATTCTGCGAGGCAGCACAACGCACTATAACCGGTTTAGTTGGATCAATAAACTTTAGAACTGGTTGCTGGGTAAGAATTTCTTTAACCTCATCAAAAGCTTTTGTCTGCTTGTGCGACCAATAGAACTCGATATCTTTCTTCAGCAGTTCTCTGATTGGCGCTGTGATCGTTGGTAGGTTAGGTACAAATTTTGCCGAATAATTTGCAGTTCCAAGTAATCTTTCAATCTTCTTCTTCGACGAAGGTGTTGGCATATCTTGAATTGCTTTAATCTTCGACTCATCAGGTTTCACACAGTCTTTCATGAAGTTATGACCACAATGCGATACTTCGTTCACATTGAACTTGCACTTGTCTACATTTAATGTGAGGTTTATTTCTTCACATTGTTGTACGCTGGCTTCTAACCGTGCGTCGTGCTCCTGTTCATCAGATCCCCAAATGAGTATGTCATCAATCTCAGTGGCTATGGCTTCGAAGTCATCAAGATGCTGCGAAATTCTCTTCTGGAAAACTTCCTGCGCAGATTTAATGCCGAAAGGCATTCCCGTGAAACAATATCTGCCAAATGGTGTGCTGAACATCGTTATAAGTTGATTTGGCTCATCCAATGGTATCTGCCAGTGAGAGAACACTTGGAGAACACTTTCGCACCAGATACCCGAGACGCTATTTCTTCTACCGTTGGTAATTGGAAATGTTCCCGTCTGATCGCTTCATTTAGATGCTTCGGGTCTAGGCATATTCGTAGTCTCCCCGTACCTGGTTTCTGCACTATTGCAATTGAGTTGACCCAGTCAGTCGGTCTGTCCACTTTACGAATAACTCCTTGCTTCTCCATTTCTTCTAACTCAAGCTTTAAACGACCTTTTATTTCTACAGGAACTTTTCTCGCTGCACTTATTACAGGTGATACCTCAGGTTCCAATTCAATGTGATATGGTTCCTTCAGGCACCCCACGCCTTTGAATACAACTGAGTATTTCTCCTTAAGATCTCCCTCTTTATTAGTGCTTATCACAACCTTGATTATGTCGAGTTCTTGCGACGCTTGAAAACCCAGAAAAGGATACTGATCTGTTTCGCTCACGAAAAAATTCAGCAGCTTGTTCATACATTTCAACGTGCATTTGCCAACAAGATTAAGCTTATCTCCAGTGTAACTTGTCAATGAGGTCCTTGATGCCTGAATTGGTTCTTTAGGCTCTTTCAATTCTCGGTACATCGACATGGGAATTATGTTCGCTTGAGATCCTGTGTTAACTTTAAACTAGATCGGTGTGTCGTTAACCTCTAAGTTATAAAACATTCGTCTTTCGTCAATTCTGTTTTAGTCGACTGTTCGGGTTTCTTTTCAACCGTTCCGACAAACAGAATATCCGGATCTGTATGCATTTGATCAATTTTGTGTACTTTCTTTGAGCGGCAATACTTCGCAAAGTGATTTAGTTTTCGGCATGTATGACAGACTTTGCCATATGCTGGACATTGCTTGCTTGGATGGTCTCGACCGCATTTGCTACATTTTATTACTTCGCCCGAGCCGCCCGAGGATATCTTCTGTTTTTCTCGCCCAAACTTCGCTGGTCTGCCTTCATTATTCCCTTTTTTTGAACTCTTCTTCACTGAACTTACTTTAAAACTGTCGTCTTTCGTTAGGTCTTTAAGTTGTTAACGCGATTATTCGTCTGCTTTACATATGCTAATGGCTTTGTCTAAAGTTAAATCGTCTTCTCGAAGCATTCGAGCTTGAAGTCTGTCCGCTTTTATGCCACAAATGATTCGATCCCGAATTAACTCTTCTTGTAGTTCTCCAAAACGACAGTTTTTCGTCAAAAGCCGTAGTTACGTAACATATTGGTCAACTGATTCGGTTTCGCCTTGCACGCGTTTATTAAATTTGTATCGCTGTATTGTTGTGTTCTGCTTCGGTATGCAATAATCTTCAAACTTTTGTATTAACGGTTTTATTTTGTCTACTTCGCTTGTCTCGAAATCAAATGTGTTGTGGATATCTCTGCCATCTTGACCAATGATATATAAGAAAGCGCTGCATCTCTCTTTCTCAGATGCGTCTTTCATGCAGACATCCATGTATAAATTAACTGTTTGTATCCATCTTTTCCACCGCTCAGACAAATCACCATCGCCCGGAACGAATTGCAACTCAGCTGGAGTTTGTCTTAATTTATCCATTTTTGGAATAAACTCCTCCAAACTCTACGATTTCTATTCAGGATCCCACTCCTGACACCAAGTTATGTTTGTACATCCGTATGTATAACATTTATTTTACTAAAAGTAACGTGAGGAGAGCAACTCTTATATAGCTAAGTGTATACATAAATTAACATATAACACAATAATACAACAAAATTGACTTGTATGCTTACAGTATATTATCCATTTTAACTTGGTTACTTGAAGTATTGGTGTGATAATATGGACTGAACTTGTTTAAAACTTGCAATTGGAAATGTGAAAAGGACTTGTGTGCTTACAGTATATTATACATTTGAACTTGATTAATTGAAGTTTTGGTGTGATAATTTAAAACTATGACATTGATTAAAAGTCAAAATGGTTGACTCAGTGGTTGAAGAAATGTTATTGGAATTGGAGTCGGAAATATTTGCATTAAAGTTGGATGACTTTTTGAAGTTAGCACAAAAATATAAAGCTAGATGAATCGAGTGTTCAAAGTAAGAGTAGATTTATGATTCTAAAGGCTATACGGGAAGCTATAGAAGAGACAGTAGGAAAGCTAACTGAGAAAACAGAATGTGTGAAATATATAGAAAGTATTAAAGTATTTCTTGGCCCACCCCCGCTCGAAGAGCCCGACGGTCAAAGTTGTAGAATTGGAAGAGAAGATAAAATAATTGTTGAGTAAACAAAAAGAAATCAAACTAAAGCCTCAAGAGAAAAATGGAACAGGTGTTGGTAAGAAAAGTTCTGTTCAACCAGAAAATGTTATAAAAGTACCATTGGCAAATCTTGAAAAGAGTCTGCTACACCGAGATTTTAAGATACAAGGTGTAGTTGGGGAACCCGGGCAGAAAGATAAGTTGGGGTATCAATCATTAGTTTCCCAAATTGAAGCCGGTGTTAGAAAACAATACTCTGAACTAGAAATTGTTAATGCGGTAGTTCGAGCAGTCCAACCAAGACTTCAGTTAAGAAGTTATTTGGAGAGCGTTACGGACTTAACCTTTCCCAGGCAAAGAAAAATTATTCCGGCCGTTCCATTATCATGAGAAGAGTGCAACCGAACTGTACCAAATGTTAGCTAACATTGCCCAACAACCAAAAGAGGATCCACAATCTTTCCTCATTCGAACTCTGACCATTCGCCAAAAGATAATTTTTGCCTCAAAAGAGTCGGGAAATAATATAACCTATGATCAGAGCTCAGCGCAAGGATTATTTCTGCATGCCCTTGAGACAGGGCTTATTGATGAGACAATCCGAGCAAAGATGAGACCAACCCTTCAGAATCATCTGGTCACCGACGAGGATTTGATTGAAGCCATGAACATGGCTATGTCCGCAGAAATCGAGAGAGTAAACAAATTCAGTTTTTCGGGCAGAAAGTCAGCAAGCATATATATCAACAGAGGAGATGACGTCTGAAAAAAACAAGGAAAAGAGAGAGGAGGGACGAGTATTAGCTGCGCTGAAGGCTGTCCAATCCGACATGGCGATAATGGAAAGCGAGATGAAATTTCTCCGTGATGCACTAACCAAGGTGCCCGAACCGGGGGATGAAATACGAAACAACGTGGCGACGAAGGCTAGTCGACCGAAGCGTGGATGTAGAGAATGTTAAGAGAAAGGTTTGTCGGACATGTGTAGTCACTGTTTTCTTTGTGGTTGGGCCAATCATATAGCCAGATTTTGCAACATGAAGTTCAGAAACCAGGGAAACCACAAAGGGCTGCCCCCGAGGGACAGGGTGTAGCCCAATCAAAGACAGAAATGAAGTCCCACCTTTGTGATTACTGTTTGAAGAAAGAAAGTAGGTCAAATGAATTTCAAATATGTTCGAGATGTAAAATTGTGCATTATTGTTCAAAGGATTGCCAGAGGGAACATTGGGTTGAACATAAGACTCTCTGTACATCCATCAAGAACCTCTCAACAACTGCAGGTACAATACCTGGTTTGGGAGATTCCGCAGATATGAACATGTTTGTCAGTCATCTCACCCCAAAACAGAGAGATGCCGTAGTTAAGCTTGTTGGGGAAAAGTGTCAAGTCAAATGCCAACTCAATGGTAAAGAAACGGAGATACTTTGGGACACAGAGGCCCAGGTCTCAATTCTACCTGAGAGAATTTTGAAGGACATGTTCCCAGCCATTCCGGTTAAGGACATACATGAGCTTTTTGGTGCTGGATCAGATCTCAAGCTAGAAGCATCCAATGGAACACAAATTCCGTACAACGGGTGTGTAGGAGTAAATTTTAAGCTCTTTAACAATTCAGCAAAAGAAATTACAGTACCATTTTTGGTCTCAAATGAAGACCTTAACTGTCCCATAATTGGTTACAACGTAATTGAACTTTTTGTGAAGGATAATGGCCCAGAAACGGCATTGCCCGCTGTTGCAGAAAGTTTTGACAATGTCAGTAACGCAGAGGCAAGTGCCCTAGTCAATTTTATGATCAGCGATCTAAGCGAAAGTCTTTGCGCAGTTCGAACATCGAAAAAGAAAGTGGTTATCCCTAGTGGCCAGACCATGAATATTTCATGCCGTGCAAACACTGGACCAATAAGACGGCACAGTCCTGCATTATTTGAGACAGATGAACAAACCCACATGCCGATAGGTCTAACAGTTCAAGAGGCTCTGACCACAGTGAAACAAGAGAAGTCTAGCTTAATAGATATTCCAGTAACTAATACAACACAGCACGAGATTGTCTTACCCGGTAGACTAGTCCTTGGCAACCTAGAATTGATTCGCTCGGTTATTCCACTTGAAGTCAAATGAAAGAAGGAAGAACTGCGAGAGCAGCCAGGCAACATAGAGACAGAGATTGAGTTAGATCCCAAAAAAAACCATCATCCCTGAAAGTGAAGAACCCAGACTACCAGAGGTAGACTTGAGTGGGCTTACACCTGAACAAAGATGAGAGGCAACGAAGATGTTATACGAGGAAGCTGATGCATTTGCGATGGATGACGAACGTTAGGTGTATTGAGGCACTTCAAATGAACATTCACTTAACTGATGATCAACCAATCCAGAAGAACTATTTGTCAATTCCCAGACCTCTGTATCCCGAAGTAAAGGCTTATATAGAGGACCTATTGAACAGAAATTTTATACGGAAATCGAAATCACTGTACGATTGTGTGTGGATTATCGGGCTTTAAACCAGAAAACTGTATCTGACAGACACCCTATCCCGCGTATTTAGGGGACACTAGACAACCTGGGAGGAAACCACTGGTTTAGTGTCCTCGACCAGGGGAAGGCTTACCATCAAGGTTTCATGGTCAGAGATAGTCAGCCTCTTACAGCCTTTATAACCCCCTGAGGCTTGTATGAGTGGACCAGAATACCGTTTGGGCTAATGAACGCACCCGCCAAATTCCAGAGATTTATGGAGAACTGTTTGGGAGACCTTCGAGACAAAATTTGTATACCATACTTGGACGACGTTATTGTTTTCTCCAAGACCTTTAAGGAACATGTGCAACATATACAGGAAGTTCTTCAACGATTAAAGAGTCATGGGGTTAAACTTAAGCCAAAAAATGTAACCTGGGTATCAGATGGACCCCAAGGCGACTGCTGCCGTTGAAAAGCTTATAGGAGTCATTCCAAATACCGTAGGAGAAGTGCGAAAGATAATGGGTCTGCTTGGTGTGTATCGACGGTCGATCGAGAACTATTCGAAGATTGCCAAGCTATTATAGGACCTGTTAAATAGGGACACATCTCCACCGAATATGTCAATAGCAAGCAGAAACAACCACAACAAGTATGGCAATCATCAGTTACCATCCAAATCACTGATACAGAGGAAATCTGAACATTCCAGTGCCTTAGAAATTCTCGTTGAAAGGATAACTTCTCCACCTATCCTCGCCTAACCACAATACAATGATCCATTCCTTGTACATACTGACGCTTCGCAAGATGGTCTCGGTGCTGTTTTCTACCAGAGACAAGCAGGCATATTGAGAGTCACCGCATATGCATCCAGGACATTGTCCCATGCAGAAAAAAATTATCATCTTCATTCTGAGAAACTAGAAGTCCTGGCTTAATAGTGGTCAATAACCGAACAGTTTCGCGACTACCTGTATTATTCACCAAAGTTTACAGTCTTTACCGATAACAATCCTTTTACCTATATCCTCATGACTGCCAAGCTTAACGCCACCGGACTGCGATGGGTTGGTGAACTCTCCGACTTCAACTTCGATATCAAGTATCGTCCTGGTCGCAGCAATACAGACGCTAACAGTTTATCCAGGTTGCCTGGATACTTCGAAGAGTATATGCCATCGTGTCCCCAAACAATATCGCAGAAAGAACTTGAGACGTCCATCGCTTCTATCCGTGCCCTTGGCAAAGGATAAGCAATTTGGCTCACTTCCTTCATCACAGATGAAAACATGTTGGGTGACGACGAGGCTTTACTTCCTTCCAATGCCAGTTATAGTCAGATCGGAGTAATTGACACAGCACGAGAACAAGACAACGATCAAGACGTCAAACGTGTAAAAGAGTTTATCCGATCTCAACAAATTCCAACACCTAAAGAGTGAAAAGGTGAGACACGAGGGGTGAAACAATTTCTGTTCGAATTAGCAAAACTCTTAATTGACCCTAGTTCTGGTATTCTATTCCACCGATCACAAGTAGTTCTACCAAAAAAGATGCGCCGTAGAGTGTACAAGGAACTGCACGAAGACATAGGGCATCTTGGATTGGAAAGGGTTCTTGCGCTTGCCAGAGATCGTTTTTACTGGCCGTATATGAGACGAGATATAGAATATTTCATTACTCGTGTTTCCCACTGTGTAAAGAACAAGCGTCCCACACTTCCAACCCGTGAACCCCTCCATCCCATAGTTACGACTTCTCCCTTCCAACTGATTGCTGTCGACTATGTTCACCTTGAGCGCAGTTCTGGAGGATATGAATACATTTTAGTGACCGTGGACCATTTTACGAGATACGCTCAAGCATATGCCACGAAAAACAAATCAGGTGCAATAGCTGCGGAGAAGATTATTAATGACTTTGTTCCAAGATTCGGATTCCCAGAGAAGATCAACCATGATATGGGTCGAAAACAACCTATTCAAGCAGTTAGAGAAATTGTCTGGGGTACGTCATTCCAGAACCACTCCTTATCATCCTCAGGGGAATGGTCAAGTCGAGCAAATGAATAGAACTTTGGTTGCAATGCAGCGGACTCTGCCAGAAACTCACAAGACAAATTGGAAAGACCATCTGTCTAAACTTGTCCATGCATATAATTGTACTCGCCACGAAGCCACCGGCTACGCCCCTTTCTTTCTCCTGTTTGGCCGCTCCCCATGACTACCCATTGATCTAGCGTCCAACCTGAAAGATAAAGATGGCACCACCACCTATTCCCAGTGTGTCTCGAAGTGGCAAACAGCAATGAAGGAAGCATACGCCAAAGCTTCAAACCTAGCATCGAAGAACGCCTCGCGAGGTAAAAAGCAGTACGACAAGAAAGTCCGATCGACAGTTCTTCAACCTGGAGACCGGGTTTTAGTACGGAATTTGACACCAAGAGGAGGCCCGGGGAAGTTGCAGTCTTTCTGGGAGGATGAGGTACACGAAAGGCCCGGACAGACCGGTATATGACGTCCAATCAGAGTCCAAGAAGAAACCTCGTACGTTGCATTGCAATATGCTACTTCCATGTGACTACTTGTCTACCGCATTGGCCGTGACAGCGCCTAGACAACTTCGCGACCAGGATCGTTTATCTACCCGTTATAATACATGTATTGATGACAGTTCATCAGATGACGAGGAAGAGTACACTTCAGTTTCACATCGCATGCCATTAACCGTCGACTCGAAGCACGATTTATCCGATGGAGAACAATCGCTGGAGCTACAAGTGCAGGTCGGGGACAACGTAGCAGACGAGTTACAGCTGGATAATCAGAGTGGTAATATCCTACCCACTGAAGACGAACCTGAGGAACCTTTCGAGATACAAGGAGAAACAACTGAAGAAATTTCGGAACAGCAGGATGAACATGTGCCTGTACCTAATGGGAGGCAGGAAGCCCTTCCGCCTACTAATAGACCTCCACCAAGAAACCGACAAGTTCCACAACGACTCACCTACTACGCTCCAGGACATTCGGCCTGTTGTTATTGTGCAGTAGTGATTCTGCCATTCAACCATCGAACGCCCAAATTCCCTTACCTTCCACTAGAGACACAACCTTACCGCCAAACTCTGCTGCAACCCTGCAAAGTCCCACAACCTTTTCAAATGCCAGTACCTTTCCAAGTACCACCACCTTTCCAAATACCACCACCTTTCCAAGTACCACCACCTTTCCAAATACCACCAACGTATTAGATCGCACAACCATTTCAGCCCCCACAACCTTTCCAAATACCACCACCTTTCCCAATATCACCAACATATCAGATCCCACAACCCTACCAACTCCCCTAACCTAAGGAGTGCAACTATCCCACATTCCCACTTCGATAGAATAGTGACAATGAGTTAATTAAGTTTATTTTGTTAAAAAGAAAACAACATTCGGTTTAGATTCACTTGTAAGGATTTTACAATTCTCGTAGAAGTACCGAAGATACTTGAAGAAATCAGTTACAGGACAAGAAGAAAACAAAAGATTTGACATTGGGAGGGCTTGATCAACCCAACCATTGTTTTGGAGGAACAGAACAAACGTCAGAACTGTTATGTAGTTAGTTAAGTAGTATAGTAAAGAACTGATTTAAAACAGATTCTCAGTGCTAAGGTAAATCAAAATGTCAAGGATGCCATTTATTTCAGGAGGGGGAGAGTGTTAGATGAATAATTTAGGACTACATGAAGTAGAGCATTGCTGATCAGATTGATCGCGGGCGCATATGAAACGGCATGGTTTGTGTATTCTAAAATATAATATAGTTTTGGGCTAGTTTTCCTTATAAAAAAAGTATTATTAAAGAGATCTAAAGCAACGTTTGTCTTATTTTTCTGATTAGAATATATCAAGAAGAATCCGTGTAACACAGACATACGGGCCTTTGTCAATTTTGAGAGTAATTTTTGACATTAATTTTCGTTAACATTTAAACTTACTCAGCAGTGCATGTTTTATCAGATATAAAAATACTAGAAATACATGCATGCAACAACCCCTCGCCTATATTCTCCAAACATTGTTTCAACATGAAGTATTCGTAATTACACCAACACTGAACGCAGGCTCGCGTTGCTCATGGCATGTTAACCATGGCAATAACCGCAACACTATTACACGAATACATGATAATAGTTTTTTATATTTTTTTAAATACAGAAAATTCAAATGTAAAATGTAAAATTCAAAACGAAGCTCTACGTAAAACGTTTTTAAACGTGGATTGAAATCAACTGCTTTTTGCCGATATTAAACTCTCCAACTTGAGCTTCAACTTATTACCCGCACGTTGAAATGAAATAAATTTAATTCGTAGAGGACTAATGAAAATAATTTGCTTTCCTTTTTATCATGAACTTCTACAAACGTTAATTTAACTAAGAAACTTTCGCATACAATGCATAGGAAAGATTTATTAAAACAACAAGAACAAAGTCTATAATCTGAATTCAAAGTCATACATAAACAATTGAAACAAACGTGCCCGATACTTTATGGATTTCTCATACTAAAACAATTCTTACATGTATTTTTATATTTTTCCCTTCTTCACTCCTGGTAAACAGCCATATTTTGACATCAGTGAGATGACCACCCATAGACCATGCGCCCGCGATATATGATGAACTTTAGACTTCGCTAGTGCGTTTCTTTCCCCGGGTGTAAATAGCCGGATGGAATTAGTACCCTCGCCCCGGGCTTACGCCCGAGGAACGAGGCGAAGCCGAGTATCTTTAGGTTTGATAAAACACAGCTGCTCAATCATGTTTTAAATTGTTTCAAAAACGAACGATCTAGTAGGTTCATTGGCGAAGTAATTTTGAAAAAATACATTGTGTAAATCGAGAAAATCAAAGTTAAAGTTTATGTAAATCATGGGAAATCTCTATCACATTTAAGAAATAGAAAACATTTTCTGTGTTTCTATCCAGTTATAGAAACATGGGTTTTTTGAGCTTTTGACTAACCAGCGCACGTGTTTTTAAAAGGCTATTTTATAAATAAAAATACGACACGCTTATGATTTTTCCTTGTGCTTTCCTTAATATGAATTATTAGTATTAGTTTTTGAATTAATTTTGTGATCTTGTGTTTAGTGCACGCAAGCTCGTATCTGTGCCCGTTGATCTTTAATCGACGCACCTGCATGTGCGATTAATGTTTCATTAGCACGGTTTTTTACCAATCAGAATCGAATAAATTGACTAAAATGATATTAAATTAAGAAATTGAAAGGTATAAAGCGAAGACCGATAAGAAAAGTTATACATAATTCCTACTTGGAAAGACTGTGGGAGCATAAAAATCTCTCATTAGAAACCCAAAAAAGCATTAATGTCTTGATCTTCTTTTTCCTGAAAGATTAAAACTGATCTTATTCATATAATTTCTTGAGAATATTTTGACACTTGCCGAGAACACTCCACAACTTCAGACAGACTAAATGCCCTTCTAAGCTGAAGTATACTCTAGAACTAATGTCCTAAATTTTCCTCTTTTTACCGTGTTGAGATAATATGGAAGAACTTGCCTCTCGGGTTTTTCTGAGTCAATAATTTAAAATACACTTGAGGTTCGTTTACTGGCAGGGAATATGTATCTTAGATTTTCTAATTGTTAATATTTATGATTTTACTTGCTTTATTAACAAATAATGTAACTGCATGTATTACTTGAATTCTTTATGCCTTCATTTTTGTGTTGAAACTATTATTGAAGTGAAGTAAACGAATTACACAACCTGAACACACGAGGTGACAACATTGTATAAGATCACATCCATAATTTTATAGTTTCAATAAACGTTTTTCACGGCGTAGTCACAGATGCACTAATTATTTTAGCCTGAGGCTTTTACTGTTCTGTAAGTACGCCAGATTTGCGGTAGACTTAAAAGTCAACTTAATTATTTGAGCCTAAGGCTTTTATTGTAAGTATGCCAGATTAGCGGTAGGCTTAAAAGACAACCTTAGCGCCAAAAGTGCTTTACAAAGTAAAGGCATCTGTCGCATCTTAAATGCGAAATTTTAATTAGTCAACGATGAGCAATTTATTTTCTCGCATAGCTCGTTTTCGCGTCGATTATGCATGTGCATAATTTTGAACACATTAGCCTACTACCCCCATTACTTTTAATTTACATGTGGAAAGACTAATGACCCTTAAAGGTGCTTTTGAATTGCTTCATGCAGTTTTTCAAAAATGATTACAGTGATGCAGTGCAACAAAAGAATTACCGACACAGAGACGGCTATTTTAGCATTCCGGCTGTTTTTATGTCCTGTATTGCTGTTACTTAACTTTGATTGTCAAATTTTAGATACTAAAATAATGCACTGAGAAGAACGTTGTCTTATGTCTTATAGCTGCATCTAAGCTTTTCTATTTCCGTATAATATTGACAAATATATTCGTTTGTGATATATAAATATAGTATACACGCAGGGCCGTAGCTAGACACGATAGTTGGGGGGTAGAGTGTATATTCATACTGTATATTCATGTTTACATACCGTAAAAACAATCGATTTCAAAAGAAATCTGTCGGACAGAACACGAATATATGAATACCTCCCCCCCCCCAAATTATCGTTCTAGCTACGGTCCTGTATACACGATCATTTAAACACACTAGCTAGGCTACCACTAAAGCCTCTTCGAAATTTCTAGGATCTATTATATAGTATTTGTTGTATTCTGATATGCAAGTTCTGAAGGATAAACGAGTAATAGCTAATAGTAATAATCACGTCGACAAAAACGACGAAAATCCTGTCCCTGTGTGATCCTGTCCCTGACCCCGCTCTCGTACAAGTTCAGCAGGATTAAAATTACTCTCTCACTTGATTAGTCGCTCTGCTTATCATTTTTAGTTGTTTTTTCACGAAATCAGTATACTTTATTCATTTCTCATAACACATTTACATCAAATTAATTAATACTGGAAGGACCAGATAAACCCTTGTGGACTTTTACAAGAACTGTAACATAACTGTTCCACTTTTTTAGTCGAACTGTTATGCGCTGAAATTCAAAACGCAGCCATACATTTGGAATACATGTCTACATTTACGTGGAATTGCATATACTGTAATCCATCTTTTCCTTGAAAAAGAAGTGACTCATTTCTAACTTCCGGGATTCCAAACTTCTTCAATAATACCCATTTGTCTTAAAGACAAACTACCTCAGACGTAATTTTCTTAAGAGAATTTAAATTCTCCCTCCATTTATGATCGAGACTGATGTGTTATTAACCTATTTGAGCGATTGATAAGATGACTTATATTATTAAGAAAATGTGAAAAGACTGAAGTTGTTATGCAATAACATCCGCTTCAAGGCCAGTTTACAATTTTTGCTGCGATTTCTATTGCGATTTTCTTCTTCTGATGCATGTGAACGACTAGATGAGTTACGTATGTTCTGAGCAGAGGTACCCTCATCTGAACGTTCATAACTTATGCACTCGTTCACATACTTCAGGTGAAGAAAATCGCAGCAAAAATTACAAGTGTAAATGAGCCTTTAAAAAGTATGTATCAGAGCTTGTTCGTTCATGACCGTCATGTTTTAGCCAAAGAAATCCGTCCGTCAAGGTATTTTGACATTAGGGAGTGGTGATCATTTATGAGGAGGGGGGGGTTGGGAAATGGGGAAAATAAGGATTGAGAACGATTTTGACCCCACCCCCCCCATCCAGACTGAAGGCAAACTTTTTGTGCCTCCCCCCTCATAAAAGTAGAAACTTTTATGACCCCCCCCCCACAGTGTGGATTGAAAAATTAACAGCAATGAAATAGGTGTGTGTTGCAGGTAAAGTTAGATATTAGGACAATCTGTTTAATCTAGCTCATGATGTTTTACTTGGTGAATATGATTCAACCATATATGATTAAAAAATATATATTATGTTTTACTATACTTATGCAACATTTGTCCTACCATAACCCGAACCCATGACCCGTCTTCATACAGCGAAATGATTTGAACACAGGGTTTTTTAAGAACTTCTCTGGGAGGTGGGCATCTACAAAAAGGGACCATACTATATTGAATATGGAGAGATGACAGATGCTTGTTGGTTACAAAAAGTTTGGTGTGGTATCGTATGTACTAGTAGGGGGGTCTCCCCAAGAAATTTTTTTGTATTTTTCCACCCCTAGAACTGAAATGTGAGCATATTTTGAAACAGATTTTT